GACATTTCTTGTTCAATCTTTTCTCTCACAGGGATACATTTTTAATTACAACGAATAAATCTAGCCAATATTCAGCTATTTTTATTGCTTTAAAAAAAATATGAGCGGCAGACACTTTATTACAAGTTTTATTTGTATAAAATTTTTATGTCTTAATATTATATTATATGGATTATTATGGAACGTACCATTTATCTAATTATAATTTTTCACTATATCTTAAAAATCTAGTTTTTTTTTTTTGAAATTTCCATTCTGTTCTCTCAATCGATAAAATTTAATAAGTTATCTATTTTTCGTGTTTCGTTACTAAAATTAAAATTTATTATAGCAAATTCTTCTCTATTACCATAAAATAAGCGAAGTGTTTGAGTTTTTTTCATACAAAGTAAACAAAATGGCACTTTATCTTTTAATTCCTAGAAAATTATTAATTTAGTATATTGCGAGAATGAGATACGTTTTGAAATAATATATACAATTATTCATATATCAAACATTTATTAGTCGTGTAATAATAAAGAATAAAGTTTTACCTTTATTACTAAGATAGAGCGATGATAGTTGTACTTAATTCCATTAAAAATAATGCAACTTATTAAAAAATTAATAGAAAAACTAGATGATTTACAATATGTTATTTTAATTAGTATTTCATCAATAATGCTGTCATTTTTTTTCATTCATTATAATTTATGAAGATTCCATAAAATTTTGATTTATTACACAGTTAATGACGCGTTGAAATAAAAGTAAAAGTGAGAATTAAATTACGGTTTTAGCTCTAAGGTTTAAAATCATAAAAAACAGCCAGGACGTTTTTTCTTCTTCAGAAAGTGTCGTAATAAAATGCCAACAAAGAAAGTAATTGACTATTATTATTGGTAGAATGTCATAATAATATGCGCAAATGCACAATGTATAAGTGGGTGCCTATAAAATACAAAATGCGACATAAATTAACAAATATTTTAAAGTCATCAATTTATTTATGCATATGCATATATAGTCTAACTATAGACCAATTTTTTATCAATATAATTTGAATTGAAGATGTTCTATTGTTTCTAATATAACGCACTAAAACTTTTCATAACCAAACAGTTCATCTCTATGTATTATGTAATAAATCTGTTTTTGATGATTGATTAATGAGCAATGCCGGATAGGGCTAACTTTACTTGAAAACATATTGCTATCTATATTTCTAATTATAAATGAAAACCGATGTCACTACTGCATCAGCATTGTCGAAGTGGGTATCAAACCCAGGACTCAGATCCCGTCGCTCTAACCCAGCGTTTCTCAAACTTATTTCTTCCATCGCCCCCTTTGAAGATCAAAATTTTTGTATCGCCCCCCTACCAAATTTTTTATACAATCTCTGAACACTGTTTTTTTTTGCTTTTATTAATATAGTTATAGTGTGATATATTAGTTGATGCAACCAAATTATACATTTTCACCAGTGAGAGCAAATAAAACGCAACTTTATGACATTAGTCATATATATTATATATTATAATCAACTTAATAGAAACAGTATATCAAATTTTATTTTCAAACTCTAATGAGAAGGATGAATTTGATGGTTTTTTACAAGTTTGTCAATATCAGGTTCCATTTGACTCAAAAACAGTCGTAAGTCACCGCGTTTGGTAATTCGCAACTGGTTTTCTGTTTTTAGTAAGTAGCATTGTCACAGCGCTAAATCCACGTTCACACAAATATGACGATGGAAATGCTAGTAAAAATTTTTGAACAACCGACCACATGCCAGGGCATAACTGCTGAATTGACTTCTGTAGCCAAAATTGTTGATACCCATCTTTAAATTTGATTTTTAATTCTTCATTTGTTGTTAATTCTATAAGCTCTTCTTCTAGCTGGGCTGATGTTTCTACATTTGCATTTGAAAAAGGGTCTAATATCCAGCCTAGTATTTCCAAATTTAAAATATCTTGAAATCTTTCGATAAAATTGCCATGAAGATTTTCCAAATGTTGGCAGTATACGAGCAAGTCTTCGTTGCACGATACCGATAAAATTGGAAAATTATTAAACTCCCGTTTTCCAATATTTTTCTTATGTAATAATAGTTTATCTACAAAAGCAGCAATGATATTTTTTGTTTTTATTACATTTAAGCCATCGCCTTGAAGTTGTAGATTCATATTGTTGAGCAATGCATACAGGTCTGTGAGATATGCTGTATCATTTTTTGGTGATACCAGGTTTTTACACAATTGTGTGCCCTTATTTTCTAAAAACTCTATAACAGAGTCAAACAGATTGTAAAAACGGGTCAGACAATTTCCATTTGATAGACAATTTTTTGGTAAAAAGCTATGAAATGGTATCAAAATCATTTAAACACCATGGAAACACGACCAAACTTATTAAGTACCAATTAATCGTTGGGATACAAAGTCTCGTGAACTTTAAAATGTAAAGTAAATAAAATTACAAATGCCCCCTAACCCAACGTCAACAACCAGCATTTTTTGCGAGGCCTTTCATCGCCCCCCTGGAGATCAATATCGCCACTTTGAGAGAGACTGCTCTAACCACTTAACTATACAGGCAAACTCCATGATTAATCTTATGAAATCTGTCGTAGTTCTCGTTATTCGTTTGCATTAACATAGTTTAGTTCGAAACTTATTGTTAGATATTCAATTGTAAAAACAATATCAACAGCTTCACTCACTTTCTCATTTATATTTCACATAGCACCCAACAGCATGAGATAGATTCTAAATTGTAATAGTTATATATATATATATATATATATATATATATATATATATACATATCTTATATATAAAATTGGTGGTCGATAAAATGATCCGCTAAAACTCGAAAACGGCTAAACCGATTTTGCCAGTCTTAGTCTTGAAAAATTCGTGCTAATCAGTAGGTAGTCGGAAAGGTGAGATATTATTTCAAAATCGCGTAGAAACTTTACATTTTTAATTTGGAAATTTTTGTAGAAGCGTAATTTGAATAAAACAATGGACGATGGCTAATACGTCAAATGTCAAACGTTTTTGACAGATGATGTTCAATTACGTTTAATAGGATGTTTTACGTAAATATTATTTAATTATGATTACATTGTAGAAAGTAGTTTTGTTTGTAGTTATATTTATACACAAAAAACGTTATTAAATGGATGGCAAGTGTTACAAAAACTCAAAATATCAACTTTTTTGAAATGTTAATATGAAAATGAAATTCTTGGCATATTTTTCTTGAACACGGTGCTCTGAAAGATCTTATTTGTATTATTATATACTCATTGGTATTTATAAAACATTTTCTATGTTATAATATTTTTTATTTATGTTATTTAAATTCAGAAACCAGGTATCGATCAAAGGGGCATGTCGAATAATATTTTCTTAGTTATAATTTCCCTGAATTTATCGAAGAATAGATAGTAATATATGCAGGTCCGGGGTTAAAAAGGTCCACCACCGACGTATCAAAAATCAGTAAAGTTAAGCATTCCAACAATATTTGAAAGTAGATGGAAATGATGTATAACCAGCTATAACCTTGATTCTCATGACCCTGCTATCGGCAGATAAACGGTAATCTTTGAAAATCCATAATAAAAGTATTTTCTTCTGTTGGTAGTTTTTTAGCATTAGTTAAAAATGTAATTATTTTGTAAAATATCTTTAAAATTAAAATGAGACATTAAATTTGTTTGCCACCTGGCCGTTCCAAGTTATTCCGCCTATACCCTACACTCCTACAGGGTAAAAAGGTTAGATAACAAATTTTTGAAATACAGCAAAGAAAACACATTTTTACAACGTGGTCAGATAACTGTTGGTTTGAAATGTGTTATTTGTTGTGATATAATTGATTTGATTTTTATAATATAAATTAATATTTGCTCAAAGTCAAATTGGACCTTTGTGCCTCGCCCTGCTCTACATATATACTTTTTATTAAATTTACTTCAATTAATCGAATTTTACTTGAAACTTTTCAAAAAGCAGGTCATAGAAGAAACACGTAATTCATTTGCTATCTCTCCTCGCAGAAGTTTGAAAATTTTATATAAGCTCAGTAGTATTATTTACAATTATACACAAAATCCAGAATCCAAAAAAATCTGAAAAACTTGAAACGTAATCAATAAGTCGAAAGACCAAAAAAGACTTGGATTGGATTATACCATGTTTTCTATAGAAAGTGTATAAAACGTCCAGTTTGATTGCATTGATAAAACATAGGCAAACTAATGGGGTTTATTGTTTTTATAATACCTCATTGTAGTTAGCATTCAAACAACACATCCTTATACACTTAAAGTATTAATATTTTTGATTCTCTAGAAAATGTTTAGAATATACCTTACTTAGCAAAACAACGTTTGCCGGGTCAGCTAGTATATATATTTATTTAATATATATATATATATATATATATATATATATATATATATATTTGTATATGCATAAGCATTATAAAAGCTCTTACTACATTTTTATTCTATTAATTAATGTTATGATTTATATTATATTCATTGCTTCGGATTTTATGCCATCTAGTTATTTCCGATTTTATTAGGATAATTTGAAGTATTATTACACGAATTAAGACATACATATGAAATCTACACATGGAAACTTTTATGTGAATTGAACCATGTTGATGAAATTATAACCGCAATGAATCAAATCTCTTAATTTCTATCATAAAACCTGTAACGAAAATCAAATTATCAATAAAAAACAATTCCAGACAAGATGGTACCGAAAATATAATATATTATATGGATGCATCAGATGTATTTAATTCTTTCACTACGAATGTCGTCCATCATCGACATTTGCATGACGTGCTTTGTGTACTGATGTCAACCACTTAAAACTTATCAACCAGTGGTGTATCAACTATCTGAATTATGTACGATATTAGAGTTGGAGCCATACCAAAAACAGCAGACAAAACTTTTAGCTATTCGTTAAACTGCAATAATCATGGCCGAAATGACTAATGGGGGTAGTTCACCAGAATTTAAAAACAGGAGCAGTTACGGAAAAGAGGAAGGTACATTTGAAATCAGCGTAAAATTCTAAGTAGGTTTAAAAACAAGTTTGAGGGGTAAAACAAAAATGCCATTTTTATCACCTAGTGATTATTAATTACTAAAACAAGAAATCATATTCTATAAATTTCCGTTGTATACGTGTTCCGGAATCTTTACCAATCACATAACATTTTTAAATATTTACGAATAAATATTTTAAAACTTTCTTGATAAAACAAATCGTTTCCATAAAATATTCGTCTGCTTATATCGACCCGAATACATTTCTAATAATTCGTCAGTGTTTTGCAATCGTCTGGTTGTTTTGCATCGAAGAACCGCATTCCACCGCCGGATTTTAAAACAGTCAAGTCGATTTGACATTTGAGAATAATTTTAGCATTCAGAGAGGTGTCATCATAACTGTGCTATAAAAATTATGAAACATGTGCGCATTGATAATTTCCTCTACACATGCGTTATCGGTTACTCTCAACATCAATAGATGAAAAGGCCTATATAATCATGTTTTAAGGTTGTGCGGCTTGCCCAGACAACACAATGGCATATAGCCACAATAGTGAATGTGCTGTTATTTATAAAGTTCATCATATTATAAAATTAATATGATGTAATTGACGACGGACAGAGAACTAGACAAAATGATAAGTAAGATCATAAAATCTAACTGCATTAGGCTTAATGGTAAGGAGACCATACGTTACGGTTTGGCCGGGACAGTCCCGGATTTCCAGCTTGGGTTTCGGGTTTTTATAAAAGCAACATTCGTCCCGGATTTAGATCTTTTGTACCGGATTGTCCCGGATTTAGATCTTTTGTACCGGATTGATAGCATATTCGAAAGCTTATTTTCACTCGATAATTACTTAATATACGATATATTAGTTCTATAATTTCAAGCAAAAACATATATCACTACCGCTTGATACAAGCTGACCGAAGTGGTAATAAACCGTCAGGCGAATTGAAAGGTACACCTTTGTGAGCAACAATATATGCATTAAAATGAACTTTGTCCTACCAGGTTAAAATTTGTCCTACCAGCTGGGAATACTGCCCTGCCTATTCTCTTAACGCAAAAAATATTAAAGCAGAAACTAAACAAGCATTGCAATATTCTGTAACTAATTACTGTAACTAATTACTGTATTTGGTTTTCCATAAATTGGATAATGAGAGAACCTATAGTATATTATTTCGCTATAGTAACAGCATTTTTTACTTTCTTTTTCAAGTTTTTCTCAATATATTGCAAACTGTCAATAGGTTTCTTAAAGATATCGCGAATAAACTACGAGTTCCTCACACAAATTATGAGATCTATTGCTGCTAATAATAATCAGTGTCATAATCAAATATTAGTTGGCTATATATGCTTTCATCTATTTTATAGTTAATATAATGTCTTTTTGTAATTTTTTAAATAATTTTAGTGTAGTTAAGGAGAATAACATATATGATTATATACTAATTACATCTTCCACAAACTCATAGAAAACGTAAATTCTCACTCGCACTAATGAAAGATTAAAAATAGAAAATAAGAATAAATACTATAGTATTTATTATAGTATATGTTGTTAATATGATAATATCAGTTACAACTTTTCTTTAAGCAAGTGTATTCTCTGATCACAAAATCGTGCATTTAATTATGCAAAATAACAAATAGTGAATTCAACCCGTTTTACCATTGTTACGCCAAAATGACGACAGACATTTATACCGTCTGAATACTAATTACAAATGAATGCAATGATTTGCAATACATCGAGCGAAAGTTACGATCTCCTAGAAATTGTGGTTTTGTTGAATTATTGTGGTCAATTTTATTGCAAAAAGGTCATTTCGAGTGCAAGCAAAATGATAAAGATATGCGTCCAGGCACTCACTCTGTTAAGTGGTCATTTTGATAACATAATATTACTATCTTGCAAATTCATTGTAACAAAAAAAATTATTATCTTTTTTGCTAAGCTATGATGTTTTAATTATTTGCCACGTGAAAATTGGATACTTTCAAATAACATCTTTAGTTTAGCCTAATCATTTTCAAGTGTTTTTACGTTTCCATCAGAAATAAACTCATGCAGAAGCGTAAAAACAGGCTGTATATCATAATTATCTAGTTGTTTATTTGTGCGTATTTCAAGAATTTACCAAAACTCTTTTTCTTCGATCACTCAGGTTGTTAGGTTATTATTTAACCTTTGTCGCTGTGGACTGTATTAAAAAACTGATTCAAATTTATATTCTGTATTTGTTGCAGTTCTAATCACAATAACTGATGTATTATTAAGTATTAATGAAGAAAAATATATTTATGCGTATAGGTTATTTACATGTGGTTAAGTCGGCGTCACTTTTAGAACAGAACAACTCGTTCCTTTAAAACACTCCGCTACCCCCTCTCTACCAGGGGTAGCAACCATTCCGTATAAAGCTTAATGCTCTGAAGTTTTGTAAACTTTCATGGCCAATATAATAAAATGAAAAGACGTCCGAACACTAGTAATAAAGTTGTTCAAATAAAATCAAGTTCCTAGCAAGAGTAATGAAAAAATCTTAATGATTAACTTTAAGTCTATTTTAAATAAAAATTCTTTTTCTTTTTTGAGTTACCATCACTGAAAAGAGCTAAATTACTAGATGTAGGACTTCCTCTTTATTCAGTGGTAAAAGCTTTGGTTTTTCAACCAAAATTACATACCTAATCATAAGATTTACTAAAAGGTTATTTGTAACAGAAACATAATCAAAAATTGTAAAAAATTAAAAACTCATACAAAAAATAAATTCTTCAATATACTATTTTATATATCACTTCACTCAATAAGTCCGTAGCATAACTAAGAAAAACCCAATTTTTTGGCAAAATCCTCTGTTTATTTGAGCAATATAGTTTTCTTCGAAAATGATATACCAATGATAGCAAACTTCAAACTTTTCAAAACAATTTTTGTAGTACGATTTGTACTTTGCCACAAAATTCGGCTCATCATTCGCAAAAATTTCTTCAGAACGAGCATCTTTTTGAGATCTAAGAACAGGATTTGGTCGCTGGGAGCAGAGAATATAGTGAGTGTGAAAGCAACTCGGAGCCGAATTCATGTTTTCTTTGCCAATGTTTTTACGGATTTGTCACCGTTGTCCTGAAGGAAAAGCATTGTTTTTCTTTTTCAACTGGGCTATTTTTCCAATTACAATCTTTCAATGCCTCAATAAAGTTATTTAAGTCTGGCCTTTCTCAAGATAGTTGATGAAGATCATTACTTGCCAATCCCGAAAAACTGACGTCATAATCTCTTGCCAGCTGATTGTTTGCATTTTTTCTCATCATCGTTTCTAGTCCACTCTGCTGACTGTCTATTCGACTCCAAAGTGTAGTCAGGTTAAGTCAGGTCATATCCATGGTGACATATTGATGCAAAAACTCAGTTTTATTTCGATAAAACAGCTCGAAATACTCTTACGAATCGTTATGCTCTTGGTCAAATGTGAGTTCGCGCGGCACCCGTTTAGCACACATATTTTTCCTATTCAAATATTCGTGAACAATATGTCTAACATATTCTATTGATATTTTTAGGGTGTCAGCTGTAGCAAACAATTTTACTTTTTCGTTTTCCAAAACGTTTCGGTGGACTTTTTTGATATTTTTCGGTGTAACCACCTAAAATGGCCTTCCAGAGCGTTCAGCTTCGTCAGTGACTATATGACTTCAATTCAAATCAGCAAACTACTTCTCCACCGTATGCCTCGATTTGGCACGGTCCAGTTCCAGATAACACTTATCAAGCGATATTTTGGCAGCAATGGTATTTTTACCCATAAAAAACAATGATAAATCAACCCACGAAATTGCTTTGAATTCATGGTTTCGAAAAACTCAAAAGAATCGTCATTTAATCATCTGTACCTTGTAAACTAATCGTAGGATTGTTATGAAATTTTGACATATATCTTCCTAAAGTTGTTGCTTCCTACAATCATATGGATGATACATATAGCTACATCAATTATGTGTTATCCTACGGACTTATTGGGTGACGTAATAGTTGAGCTAGGGACTTGAGCTTTATTGTAACAGGGGTAAGCAGTAAGTAACAGTCGTTTTTCAATTTTTTTGAAATTGATTGGCTAATGTCCCGGAAGCCGACAAAGTAAACAGAAATGTGTAGCTCCGTAATTTTTGGGATGTTTTATAAAATTTTGGTTTGCGTTATTATTATCATCTGATTTAAATTTTATATATTTTATTTTTTTAGAATTTATCATCTTTCATCATATGTGACAATTTTTATTATTGCCAAATTGTTAATGTAAAAAATCTGGCCTGGGGTTAGTTGTAACTAAATCGGAAGCTAGTTGTAAAATGCAAGAATAGCATTGCCTGTTATGCAGTGAAGCTTTACTCAGATTGACTGAAAGGAGATTGGGTAGAATGTATTGTTTAGAAGATGTAAGCACATGTTAATTATGTGTAGGACAGTATATATTTTATTTGCATCAATTGTATTTTATGTTGATTTATGATAAGAATTTTTATAACAGAAAGCACTATATATTTTATTATTATTGATTATAGTTCAAGTTGATTTATGAAAAGAATTACTTAGAATCAAATCAATTTTATAAAAGTAAAAAAATCAATGATTATGGATATTATTGTCCCGGGTATTTTGTTGTAACCACTAGCCCCAAATAAAATATATGTTGTAACATCGCATTTTTTCTTACAATTATTTTTACGGTGGTAGAATCTGCCCATCTTTATTTAGTAAAAATTTAAATTATAAGAATTATACAAACTCGATTGCAATGTTAAAATTATTTATTTGAAGTATTTTTGCTAAGCATTTTCCCCAAAAGCAATCGTTTGGCTTACACTAAGTTTTTTGAATCATTCGAATCCGGATGCTTAGTTCTCTCAAGATTTCCATTTCAGCTAATTTTTGCACATTCAACTCCGTATCTCCGAAATAGCTAGACCTGCCTTTGCCAAACTTTGCCCCATCATTACGAATTGAATGTTATTTGGATCATTCGTGAAAAAACGTGAATTCAATTTTCAGCACTCTCTGCTTCGTATCTCCCAAACGGCTTGACCAACTTTTGCTAAAAACTAATCACCACTCAAATCGGTTGTTCCGTACGCCCGAGATCGTCGACGAAAATTGTATTCACACATACACACACAGGCATCAATTTTTTCTAAGGTATGCCAAAATCTTCGGAAACCTCTGATTATAATTTTAATAAGTTTTATAAATTATAAAATATTTTTATAAATTTTAAATATAATTTTTAAGTATATGCTATTTTTGTTTTATAAGATGTATTACTAATTTTATGTTAGATTCAACCGTTTTTTATATAAATGCAAACCTATGTAAATGCCAAAATTTTCAATTTCGATTTCTGGATAATTACAATAACTTACCCTACGGGAAGTTATAAAATATTCTATCAACAATACTGATACTGAAGTATATAAAAATATGAATATATATATATATATATATATATATATATATATATATATAAGTATTAAAAAGACGACATTTGGATAAAATATTTTGTTTTCGACTCGATTCATTAATGCATTTTAGGAATTTTATTACAACTCAACATAATTGTTTTTGTTCACATCTTTCTAATTGCAGGTCGATGTTCTCAACTAAACTTTCTCTAAAAATTACAATCGTCAATTTTAGTTAAGATATTTCAGTTTTATAAGGCCTCAAATACTTAAGAGTATTTGAAATTTTTACATATAATTACGTTTTAGAAGTTTCTGAACTTTTTGGCATACCTTAGAAAAAATGGTTGTATGTGCATTTGCGTATGTGTTCGGATACAAATTTTTGTCGACGATTTCGGGAACACGGTTCAACCGATTTCAATGATTCAAAAAACATTCGATTCCTATTGATAAGGAGACGTGTTGATTAGTTTTTGGACAAGGCAGATCCAGTCGTTGCCGGTTTGTGCCAAAAATGGTAACCGAGGTTTTAAGAGAACGGAGCGTCCGATTTCAATAACTCAAAAACATTTTACTTGTATCAAAAAATGAATAACTGATTAAATTTTTTGGGTAGGTTTTCGGGGAGCAAGTGAAAAAATTAAAAAAAAACATATTTTCAGATATTTTACAGACAATTTAAGGATAAGAATGTGTTTTGTTTACATTTCTATGGGTTCCGTAACATTGTTTGTCCCTTAGACTGCGACGCGGCGCTTACACGTTTTGATATTATGTCTCTATCGAGCTAAAGCAGCGCGATTGCTTTGAAAAAAGTTCAAAATTTCCAAAATATATCAAAATATAACAAAACAATCCAAACAAATAAAATTTCAAATTGTCCAAAAATCAATTTTTTTAAAGTTTAAGAAAAAAATGAATCTTTTTTAAAAAATATATTTTTTGTTCTTTATACAAGTAAAGTGAAGAATAACTCCAGCAATTTGCTTTAAAGCACGATGCCATACACCACTAGTTTTCTTATGGGTGCAAATATAGATATATTTTGAATAGTAAAAAACACGAGCTTGTAACAAAGACTTCAGAATAGACAAGGATATAGTTATAGGTACTGAGAAGAGAGAAACGTTCATCAGCTGTATTAAAAGTTCAATGATCCTTTCGCTTCTGCGAAAGGTGTTCATGTCAAGAATATTCTAAAACTAACAAGCATTGTGGTCTTTGTCAAAACAACTCTAAAGAGATCTGTCCATTTTTTGCATTCTTTCAAATGTTTTATTGTGTTCCCACAAAGAAGGCAAAGATCTGAAGAGTAAAATGAGCATTTTACGTGCAAATATTTGATCAGATTTCAGTGAGTCAGCTAATGGCTACTCTCAATGCACAAATAACACAAATAAGCCAAACGATGAATATTTTACAAAGACATAAATAATAAACAAACCGAATATAAAACCGTATTACATTGTGGGTTAAGATAAATTGATTTAATTTTTTTAATTTTTAAATAAATGATAGAGTTGAGCGAGGCTTAAAGGTCCGCGGATTAAAAGGTCTACCACCGGTATCTCAAACACAAGTAAAGTTAACAATTATTTACCAACAATATTTTAAAGTAGAGGTAAAAAATGTATAACCATCACGCCTTGATGCTTACGACGTCGTTATAAGGAGATAAACAGAAATGCTCAAAATTTATAACAAAAGTATTTTCTTTCGTTGTTAGTTTTTTGGCTTTTACGAGTTTTTTTTTTTAATTTTCAAGTATATATTATTGTATAGTATAAATGTATGTATTATTTATTTGTATTATAAAATGTATTGTTGATTTTATGTTAGATTAAACCG